AATTTGAGAGTATAACTATTCCTTTAATAAAAATAATATATTTTAGAGAGAGAGAGATTAACAATTAAATAAATTTAAAAATGAATTATTATACTGAGTAAACGAAGTGTTTTCACTAATAGATTACATTAAAAATTAAGTTAAAACAAGAGATAATAATAAATTATTTTTAAAGAAGAGTTGACAACTAATTTCCAATAAATAACTTAACGTATAATTAACTATAGATTTTAAAAATCAAACGCAAAAATTGCATTTATAAAATTAATTTATTATCTCTAGTGTTAAGACTTGGGCTCAAAGATTTAATAATTAATCTCAAATAAATGGGATTTACTTTTATTACTTAAGCTATAATTTTTATTGCGTTATAATAATCTTGCAATAATTGATGGCTCAGACAATAAGACTACTGAATATTATTTATACCAAAAGTAAGAGTAAATACCAAATCAAGTGTTTGCCAAAAGATAAGCAATATAATAACAAAATAATAAATGTTTTTGTTATTATACCTTATTCTACATATTCTACTTTATATGAAAACATGTATAAACTAAAGTTTAAATAATCAAGAAAATCTAATGATTGTAAAATAAATATAAAAAATATTTTTGGACAAGACAGTATGCAAAAAACAATTTCTAATTGAGATATTGTATTCATAAATAGTTTGTTTAAATTGGGAGACAATGATGATATAGTGTATGAATGTATTGTAGGAATTAAGGGATACCTTTGAGCACAAAACAGGAGTTCATGTAATACTCGAAGCAATAGTAAGGCAAGTATTTGGGATGTTCTGTGCGAACCACATATGGATCAACAGCTGCCGTCCCATCCCTAGTGAGTGAAACATCACTTTCCCAGAGAGAGCACTCGTACACATCGTACACATCGTACACATCCCGCTCCCAATCCGATGACTGAGCCCAGAGAACGGCCCACTTTTGTTTGGCTCAGTGTATGAACCGCCAGATTTAGAGTACTGTTATAGTGATGTCCATAAACTCTATTGAATTGTTAAGAAGTTTTATATTCGTATTCAAAATACTAGAATACAATATCCAGCCCTTCCAGTCCTCTATGAATGGATAGGCAGACGAGACCCATATAAGTGAAGGCATATAAAAATGTTAAGCAAAACAATTTTTTTCACAAATGAAAAGTGAAATTGAAAAGTGAACAAAATTCTCGTGATAATCAAGAAATCAATTGATTCGTGAAAATTGCTTTACATTATTGTCTAATTATTTATGAGATAATGAAGTGATTGGAGAAAAATCTCTGAAAATCAATACAAATAAAACTTTATTACAATATAATAGAGTTTTCCTGTAATTGTTATATAACAGTCTTTTTAAATGTGAAATTACATTATTTTTGTTACTATTGTTATACAAAATACATCTTCTTTTTAATTAAATTATTTTATTATTTTGTTCTCCTATTTTGCAATCAACTTGTGATCGATCATCAAATTGTTAGTAATTTTATTATTGATTCAAATCTCAGGTAAAGTTCGTCTCAATCTCTAATAGTGTGTCGACTACTCAAACATATGTCACTTTGGGGATGGGTTTCAATACAAATAAAAATCAAACCAATTTTTGATAAGATTATAAACTTCGCAACTCTCGGGTTTATAAATTATATTTCACAAAACTGTTTTTCTATCAACACAACTATTAATTAAAGTATTTATTCAACTAATTTCTCTTTTATTGTTTTCTACAGTAGTTATTCAAATTGAAGTTTCATTCGTCAAATTCATCTCAATATTTGTTAAACAGTTATTCAAAAATAATATTATTATTATGAATATCATAACAACTTTATTAACATTAGGTAAGAAATTATTTAATTTTGAATTACTTTATTTCAGAAATATTATCTTTATAATTTTATTATAAAATAATATCTGCTATGAGAATACAAAAGAGATCTTTCACTTTTATATTGATATGCTTGTATTTATACTGTAGTACTGTTTGTTATAATAATTGTAATATTATAGCAGATTTGTAAGTTTACATTCATATTCTTATAACAGATATTAATTAAATAATTCAAATTCTTGTCTAAATTAAAATAAATTATTATTATTATTATTAATGGGTTTAATAATCACAGATTAAAACTTTAAACAAGAATTTATTTTGAATTAAATTTTAAATTTTGTTTTAGAGTACTTATCATTTAAAAATAAATAGTTTCTAAATATTAATATTGTGTATAAAAACAATCTACTTATAAAAACACAGTGAAGGCACAGATGTTTTACTTTTTTAAGTGTTCATTTAAAATAATATATTGAAAGTGTAGTCATTTGTAGGACAAACACCTCATTACTCTTGAGAACTTTTGTTACATATTTTTAGCTATTATTTAACATATAAATCTACATATATTTCGGAGTGATATTAAAAGTATAACAAAATTACATATAAAAATTATGTGTATACTGAGTTTTGGGATAATCTATGTTCAGATGTTTGCAAATTGAAAGTGAAAAGTCTTATAACTACTTTCTCAACACAAAGAAAATATGAAATTTTAATACAAAATACTTTTATAAAAGATTATTCAGTGAAATTGGATTAATAAAAGCCGTTGAATTGATTATTATGCTTTGAATGCTTTTATAAAATTAATTTTCTATGTATTGTTAAAAATCAGTAAAACTTTCTTACGTTTAAACAGAAATAATCATAAAATTGTATTAAAACTACGAGTTCTTCGGAAAAATTGAATAATTGAATAAAAAATAATAATAAGAAAAATAGACTTTAAGTTACTTGAATTCAAGTGAAGATTTTAGTAGCAATTTTTGGGTCAAGTTTTAAAGCAAACTTTTTGGAAGTAATAACACATATAAAATGTTTTTAGTGGTTTTAACTTACAGTACAGTAGTTATAAAGAAAAAAAAATTTACAAAATGAATATTACAAATGCATATTCAGATTTAATATTATTCGGGTGAAATAAAAGTATCGGGTGAAGTATCCTGTCATAAAATTAGTTATGTTTTGCTTTGAATAACATTTTTATAAATCAAAAATAACTTACAACAAATATAATACAATAGCAATCTATTTATGTTCATATTTAGTATATTTTTTATAAAAGAAATGTGTCGGTATTACTCATATATTTTTAAAATATATAATACATATTGAAAAGGTGTATTTTATAAAATATACCAATACTTTATTAGACATAACATAAAATTCACTAATAATTTGATTGAAAACATTAAAACTGGTTGTGTTTGAACAGGACTATTAGTGCCAATAATCTCAGCGCAGATTAGTTTCTTTGATAATCGTTTCCCTCCGGCGCCGGCGACCAGACGTACGGTCCTTCGAAACGGTGCTTTCAATGGCAGACGCAATGCAGCCCTTCAACAGTCGCCCGCAGATGAACCACAAGACCAACAGATATCGCAAATACACGAGGACTCTGTACAAGAGGGCCAGGATGTGGACAGTCAGAGACCTATAGTTCAACCCCCAGTGCCAACACAGCGTCCACAACGCGGCCAACAACCAGCTCCTAGTCGTACCCAAACCGGCTTTCCTTCAAGAGTTCCTCAACAACAACAACAACCACAGCAAGAGTTTGATGGCATCGGACAGACACACGTCGGCACTGATGACGGTATGTCTAACCGAATAAAATATATATCTTATAATTCAATACACAATACAATAGTTAAATGCAATACACATTCATTTGATGAATAAAAAGTTTCAAATTAAATAAAACAAGTTTTTATATAAAATAAAGATCTGAATGTCTGAATGCAGTGATAGATAGACACGAATCCTCATTAACGGTATATACGAGTGAATTGAATAGATAAGCGCACAGCCATTCATGCATACAATATAAAATATATAATACTACCAGTGCTTTACTGTTAGTACGGCAAAGGTATTGAATGCCTAAGATTTTTGGGCATACACTCAGAATTTAATCTAAATAATAAATTATATTTTTAATTGAAAAAAATAATAATCAAATATAATATAAATGGTAATGTCTGTATTTTTATATAACAACTCGTGGATGCGTTATATTTGTATATAAATTATTATTCAAATTATAAGTCCATATAATTGGACGATAAGGAAGTTTTCAATTTAGAAAAAAGCATTCCTTTATTCAAATGAGTGATAGATTTGAATATTAACCTCAAAAGAGAGTGAAACATATGATTATTTAGTAGTTATGTTAATATAAGCATTCAATTAGTTGTAGTGTTTAAGACCACATTGTTTGCATCAAAACCAATAAACAAATTCTTGTGTAATTTATTTGAATATGATTTTTGAGAGAGAATTCAATTCATTTTAATTCAAATGAATCGTAAAATTATTATCATTTTATTTTTACTTTTCCTCCAAAAATGAGCAAAAATAAGCAAATATTTTATACAATATATTGAGTGTAAAAGCAATGCATTGAATACCGAATGAGAGGCTGTTTTTGATGAATAAAATTATATGCCTTCCCATCAATTGTATGGTTAAAAATAGCAGAAAATATGTGAATTATATTTTTAGTATGAATTTGTTATGTGAAAAGTGAGTTAACAATAGATAGTTTGTGTTCACAACTACAACAACGGCAAAATAAATGCATATCAATACTTTGAATCAAGTTTTGCACTCAATATCTACAAGAAGTTTGTTTGAATTATTGAAAAACATTAGATTTCTCCAAAATTACTTTATTATAAAAATCTTATCTTAAGTGTAAAATTTACTTCTATTTGCTGGAAAAATAGCAATAAACTGATAAATAATTAGTGAAATTGAATTAGTTTTGAAATTAAAATGTAACGAATTTTTATTGATTTAAAAGTTTAAAACAAATCAAACGCTATATTAATGAAAGTATAAAACGTGTTGACCTCAAGGCTTAGGAAATTAAAGTTCGCTAATAATACTAATTGTTGTCAATTAATATGCAATTAAAATGCCATTATTTGCCGATAAATCACAAACACGTCTCATTTGGATTCATATTTTGATCGCAAAAACATAACTTATATTAACGAAACTTTTCAATAAATACATCCATTAATTTATACAATCAAATCACGTTTTAATGCACAACACTTTCCTCTACTATTGAATACAATTAAATTGTATACATTTGCCTTATGATTAAGAAAATTTTAAATTTTTACTTATTATTTATATATGAAGTACAATAATAATGACACATTCATTATAATGAGTGAATGCCTTGAATGACATAACATAGGATCGGATGAGGTGTTGACCCAAAAGGAGGACTCAGCCCTCACAGACATATCGATGGAAGACGTGTCGACCGAACGCGTGACCCCTGGAGTCACCTTCACGTCCACCGAAGACACCACCAGAGATGACTTCACGCCCACAGCACCCGTCCAGAGACCTCTCACCACAACCACCACTGGAACCACTGCAGGACAGAGGAAGGGTGGGTCCAGAGGTGGACAGACTGGTAGTCGAGGTGTTCAGAAACCGATATCAGGCGGCAGCCAAAGGGGTGGAACTACACCTCAAAGACCCACAACTCCGCGCCGGCCATCAGCTCCGAGAGAGAGACAACAAGTGACACAAGTAATGGACACAGTTGTAGACATTGACGGACAGACACCCGTAGACCAGACCAGTGATGGACAGGTGGAAGACGGAGGAGCGAGCGGTGGTGTTAGAGGAGGACAGACACCAGACACTGATCACGACAGGACTCAAGCGGGCGGTGTGGGCGGCGGTGACCATGGAGTACACGACGACGGACACCACGACCACCACTCGAGTGATCCCATCCAATGGCTTCGGGACGCTATACGTGGAGAGCCCGGCGCTGATTACCCCATATTTTATACTCCGCCCGAAACTGGATTCAAGTGCACTGATCAACAGTTTCCCGGGTATTACGCGGATGTGGAGGCGCGCTGTCAGGTGTTCCACATCTGCCAAGAAAATGGTCGCTCGGATGCCTTCCTGTGTCCGAACGGAACGGTATTCTCTCAGCAGTCGTTTGTCTGCGTTTATTGGCATGACTTCGACTGCTCGACTGCCACCCAATACTATAACCTCAATCAACAGCTATATTCTGCCCCCGAAACCAGTCAGCCCTCACAGGACGCCCAACCAGTAGACGATGGCTTCGAGAAGCCCAGCTCTCCTCGAGCGGGAGGCAGACCTTCCGCCCCGTCAGGCGGTCGTCCCGCTGGTGGCCGACCAGTAGGCGGAGCGCCCGTTGATTCGGTTGGCGGCCGACCCGGCGGACCGACTGACGAAAGAATTCAAATGCCTTTTGACGACTCGGTTGAGGGTCAGGAGGAGGACACCGGAAAGGGAACGGACACCGAATCACCTCAGGTTCAGACGGTTACCGATGGCTCACAAGAGGTCATCGGCGACGAGACACCGGCTTTCGATGGGGTCACCACTACTACTCAAACTGGTTTGAGAGCACCTAATGGTCGACCCTCTGGTGGCCTCAAAGGAGTCAAAAGTGGAAACGGGTATTGAATGCAAACATAACTCTATTAATGAATTTGTGACCAAATTTATTGACGAAAAAACAAACATTTAATTTCAGCGGTAGTCGACCCGCAAAGATGGGCGCACCCGTCACCAGAAAGACGGCTCAAACAGGTGTTCCCCAACAACGCATTCCTATCACAACTACCCGACCAATTGGTGGTTCCCGACCGTCAAAGACAGGCAGTTCGCGACCGTCGATCACTGGCGGTCAGCCATCCATTCCCAGCTCACCCGCAGATAATGCACGCAATGGCTTAACAAAATCAGTCAGACCTCAGACCAGTTTGAATGGAGGACAGGTGGGATCCCGACCCCGCACTAGTGGTGGCACTAAATCTGTTTATAGGACACAACAGCTGAAGGAGTTGGACGGACAACAGTCTGCGCCCAACAGTTGGTATTACTATTTCAATCTGTAATACATTTTCAATTCAATTATAAAGTCATTATTAAGTATACATTTTAAACAATTATTATCGATTCACACATTACTTACACTATTTTTAACTAAATATATATTTTATACAAATATTTTATTCAGTGTTATATAAAGTTATCGAAAACAAAAGTTTATCGTTTTTATTACATTTTATTATTTTGTTTTGAAATCAAGTTTTTAACTTATTTTTAATTTTATAAATAATTACTTGTATTTTATATATAAATAAAATTATTATTTTTGTTTGCTCACCAAAACCAAATTATTTTGACTAAAATTATATTTGTTTTAATTTTGTGATTTATATTAAACAATTCTCGAATAACTTAAAGTAAACTATTTCAGTAACACAATGTGTATTTTTAAACTAATCACGTTATTTAATCAGTGAATTTATTTTGTAATTTACATAAAAGTTGTATATGCATGTAATGTTATATAATTCTTATATTCAGTAGAGTTCACTGAATTTATAAACATTATTTGAAAATATATCAAAAAAGGGTTTTGAAATAATTTTGATTGTCACTATTTAAACATTTGAATCACGAATTAATTTGACTTTAAATATAAGGAAATAATTTCTTAAATCTTGAAAAAACAAAAAATATCCGTGAAATTCGGATCAAAAACTTTTTAAAAAATATATCAAATATACAGAGATTTACATAAATAAGAATATAATTTACATGAAATATAATAATAAATCAGTTGTAATGCTTTGCCATAAGTTCAAACACTTGTTTATCACACAAAACATTTCACATTTCAAACCTGTATTTCATTATAAGATATACCTATAAAATAACTCTTATGATTATATATTAAAACTGTTGCCATAAAAAATGATAATAAACTATATTTTAAAAATGTAAAATAAAAATACTTTTGCTTTACTTTTGAAAGATGAACGCAAGTAATATTAATTTTATTTTTTACGCAAAAACTGATTACACAAATAAATAATTGCTAACACATAACATATAAACTTTTCACTACTGTATAATGTATTGATAAGAATTGCATTAAAAAGTTGTACAGTATAATTTTGAAAAGTAAAAATTACTGTATTTTATTTATTAAGTTTTACAAATATTTCCATTAATCTCTCACTCATTCACTCACTTTCTTTTGATTCAACACTAGTATATAATTTAAAATGCATTGTATTTTCCATATAACTCTTTATAAGAAATGTAATTTACAGTACATTAAAATCTTATTCACTCAATAGTGTACAATATAACGACTTATGATGCACTTTATTGAGATTTGATGGCATTAATGCTAACTACCCATCTTTGACAGTAATTGCGAATCAAAGTTTTTGGATTTGAATTATGAAGTGAAAGGCATGTCATTAACAAAAGAAACTTTTATTTCTATATCTCATCATTGAGTCGTTAGATATGAAAGTGCCGCTCAGTTAACATAAGTCCCAATAACTTATTGCCAATAAGTTTGTTATTTGCAAACAATCATAATTAAAGGTTAGAGACATAAGTAACACTAATACTACTCTCTGTATACGTAGTATAGACTCTACAAGACACTAATACAGAGACCTTAAAAGTATTAAAAAACAAAATATATGTACAACATATTTAATTTAATTCATATAGATTATCAGTAGATAATGCTCATTACAGTATAGTCTATAAACTATTGGTTTGTTACGTTTATCTTTATTCATATTAATAAATATCATTGAAATTATTTTATACATAATACTCGAGCAATTTTTCTATAGATTTAACAAAATCTTTGTTTTAATTTCAAAAATTCATATAGTTACCATGGTCTCGTTTTTACATTCTTTAAAATAAAATCATTTAATCAAATGAACATTTATTTTGATGATATTATGTGATATAGTTTTAATTTATAATTAAAGGTGTTCTATTATTTAATTATTTCCAAATGTGTGCTAAAATCAAGAATATAAAATCTAAATATAATAATAACCATAATATTAGGTCATCAATATTAGAATTAATATACAGTATTTAATATAATAATTCAATATATTTTATCAAAAAATATAAGCAATATTCTGATGAGAGACCTATATTTCAATCAATAACCAGATTTGCATTAGTTATTTAAAATAACTTATATTTTATGTTTAATTTTTTTAGTGAACAAAGGGTTATAAATATAAGGGTATAGTATTTTCAGAGCATATACTTACTTTACATACAATCAATAATAGATATCGAAAGTTGTATTGAATGAATGAATGAGTGATTGAGTGAGTGAGTGAGTGAGTGAGTGAGTGAGTGAGTGAGTGAGTGAGAG